TTCAGCATACAGAGAGAGTTTTTTCAGTCAAAAGATGTTAATTGTCATGGTAGACCAAAAATAGCCCCAAAGCCAAAAATTGCATGGATTTAGGTCTGGAAACCATGTGGAAACATGTTTTCTTCTTCCAGCTTTCACAGCCAACAATTCCACTTGTTTAAACTTTACAATAAATTTTTGTAGTCTGTTCATAATAATGGTTAGAGCTGTTCAAATCTCCAAAGATTGAAATCTCTGCAAAGCTTCTGGTGTGGAACTATTGTTTTGGTAAAACAGTTTCACCAGTAAAGTGATTCTTGTAAAGTTAATGTTATTTTTAATAGTGGTAAATGACATTGAAAATGGTTTTGTAGAAGTTGTTTAAATACCCTTTAATGGTGTGCAATCGGATGATGTAGTAATAAAGATTAGCATGTTTAATATATTATGCATGGAAAAGTTCCCCTAATTGGTGACGTTCATGACTAATTTTTTTATTTTTACTTTCCTTCTCATGGCCTCATTAAGTTGTACTAAAAATTTGGTAACCTTTTGATAAATAGTTTTTGCTCTAGATTGCTCTCAATAGATCAACTTTTAATTATAGACACCCTATATAAAAAATACCACTAATTTGATAATTACTTTAAATATCAAATGAACAGTCAAATTTTTTAATCAGTTATTAAAACTAAATAATTGCTAAGTAATTCTCCTATCTGTTTAACTTATATACTGAATATATCATGAGAATGGTTACTAGAAATGAAGAGTCCATTGGTATCAAGATTGGAGGCGAAACTATTAATAATATAAGATATGCAGATGATACCACCCTTTTGACAGAAAGCAAAGCAGATTTAGAAAAACTTATCATAAGGGTNAAAAATTTATAAAATCTATTAAATTTCTTATTAGCAGTGGTGATATTCAGCGGGTTCGTATAGGTTCGGCCAAACCCGTTGTTAACATTTTCGAAGTTTTCCGAACCTTGTTAAACACATTTAAGATTTCTCAGTGGTTTGTTTCTTTTAAAAAACTTATTAAAATATACATATTATACTCTGTAACACTATTAAACTAGAGCCTTATACCCCATTCACCTTGGTGGGATCTCCCTTGATCGTTTCAATCTCGACTGAAACGAGGTTCAATCGCAGTCGACTCAAGAGAGTTCTTGAAACTAGATCCAGCATAAGAGATATCCCACAATCTCACGCGCACGAGAAAATACAAGATGGCTGCGGAACACGTGTGGTAATAAAATATGTACAAAATAAACCATTTTGAACACTCTTTTTTATTATTTATAAAAATATATATATAATTATAAAAAATATTTATAATTATATTAAAAATTATAAAAAAAAAATAATATCTCATTTTAGAACTTTCAACATGATTTTTTTAAATTAAGAAAACTATTCAAAAATCAAAAAGTTTAATTGCTTGGAATTTTCAGCTAATAGATAAAGTTGCTATTAAAATTTACAAAACTAATTTAAATACAACAATCTACATTTTATACAATATTGAAGTAAATATTGATCATAAACCAAATGTATTTTCTCCACTATAAACAACATATAAAAATCCATCTTCATCTTTATGTGCATTGTATATTTCACCCATGCTGG